CGGTGACCCCGGAGACGGTATACGAACTCATGGCCTGCCCCGACATCGACGGCGCCCTCGTAGGAGGCGCCTCGCTAGTGGCAGAGAAGTTCGCTCGCATCGTCGGCTTCAAGGCCCCCGTCAGCGCCTAAATATGGCTTTGCTGGCTGGCATGGTGATTTTGTTGGGAGGAAAGCCATTCGTTTCGGAGGAAAGCCATTCATTTCGGAGGAAAGTCATTCGAAGATATAGCTGATCGGTGGACCCGTCGCGGCCTATTTTTCGTTGAAGAAACTCTGCAAGGATTTTTGGGAATGGACAGGGAGCCTCTGATCCGGCGTGATAGATTTTTTAGCGTGTGGCGAGAGTTACACCAGAAGCTTCGGTGCATTCGTGGTGGAACAACAATAGACCTGCTTATTTTGTTCGCCAGCTGCGGGATCCAGATATGTAGAAGAAAGGCTAATAGCTGTTGCTTGCACGCGCTTTTCCCGGGTAAACAACCGCTCGGACGAGTGTCTTCGCGGGAGTCTTTGGTCGGTTTTTTTTTCGGAACCCTTGCCGCCGGTGGCGCTCGTAGGCATTGCAAGCGGCGTGCTGTGTCGTGCGCCCTGCCTGACCCCTACACAGGCCTCTCGCCTGTTTGCTCGGTCTGCGGCATGCGTCCTTTGTTTCTTTTTTGGTTTGTCCCAATGTTAGGAAATTGGCGTGGTGAGTCCGGGGGTGGGGGGGGAGGCATGCAGCTGTTATAGAGGGAGGCAGCCGATGTTCTGTTGGCGTTTTTCGGGTTCGACCTCTGCCCTCGTCGGGCGTGTTGAGCGCGTTTAGAAGGGTAGGGGAGGCCAGGGACTCCTATCTTTCCATCATCTTCCCCACCCCTGTGCGCCCTAGCGCTCTGCAGTTTTGATGTTCGTCGGCTCCGAACTCGCCGGCAGATATCAGCACTCGGGAAAGTGAACACAAAATCAGGTAGACAAAATCAGTCACGAACGATGCATTCACGCTGATTTTATTGTGGTTGCATTTGAAAAAGGTTTTGTCTCCTCGGCGTCGTGGTGGCCTCGTCACACTTGATGCCAGAATTCGGGATGGCGCCCCTCAGGGTTGGACAGATCGATCAGAGAACCGCGGTCCTTTACTCGAGAGGAACAAGACAACGGCCCAACCGGTGGTTGCACTTGTTCGGTCGTGCCTGCCTGGCTGCCTCCTGGCGATCCCCCCAGCAAGTACGCCTACTGCCGTAGATGCTGCTGTGTGCTACCCACCAACGCCAGACGTCGGCAAGCAGTAGAAGTTGTAGAAGAATCGAGAGCGGTCAGGTGAGTCTTTGGGTGTTTGGCGCCGTTTGGCCGCACGGCAGAGAGAGGCACGTCGGTCTGAGCGAACGAGCGAGAACGAAGAAGAGCTACACGGCTCAGTACGTGGAGAATCATCCCTCCCCACCCGCACAACAACAGCAGTAGTGGTGGCGCATTGTGGTGCGGTCGATGCAGTATGCAACTTCCCCCCAGGGTTTAACGCCCGCCGCGGTGCATTCCGATGGACGACTACGCTCGCCTTGGTGTGCTGTGGTCTCACGTTCACCCGGCCGTTCAAGAAAAGCGGGTTCCATCCGCGGGCACAGTTTCTTCTCCTGCGTGGCCCGTGGGCATGCCACGTGCACTTAATGGTTCGGGTTGCGAGGCACAGAAGTACAGATGCGCTGCAGGCATCGTGCGCGTTACGAGGCACAGCGCAGCAAGTGGTCTAAAGATGTGCGGTAGAGGTTGTCTACCCGAGAGGTTGTCTTTCGGAATAATTTAAAAGTGCGTCGGCTGTTGCTTGTTGCTTGTGACACAGCCGTAGCGGGAGCAGCACTAGCGAGCGCATCGGGGAGTGACAACGACACCATTGGGGGCCAGGCGTGTTTACCCCATTTGGCCCCAAACACGCGACATTGCTACTGCTGTTGCTGCACTTCTTTCCCTCTCTCTCCTCTGCAACTGCTGCGCCCGGACGCTCGGATCCCGAATAATTTACCCGACCACCCGAACCAATGACGTGCCTCTTCGACTGCTATAACCGGCTCGTTTTTGGCCAATCATACGCTACGATCACGCGCCGGCGACGCACACAGCACGCAATCAACACGAAGGCCTCGGATACAAAACCCATGTTCGTGTTCGGCCCGCGAAGGATGCCGGCCAGAAGCACCGGCAAGAGAATGGGCGCCACCCTGGCGTTGCTGGCGATCGGTCTTGGCGGCGCCGATGCCTTCGTCCTCCCCACAGCTTGGACGAAGACCAGGCAAGCAAAAAATATGGTGCTTTTGAGGACCGGGTTCATGGTCCTACATTGGGTGTTATATTAGTATAGCAGTAGTTCGACGGGGCAGCAGCGCTAGAGCTCGGCAGCGCCGGTAGAAGTGGGTTGTTCATCACCTTGCGGGCGTTCCTTGTGTAGGCACAATCCCTTTGTCCCCACCATAAGTTCTGGTATTCGTCCGACCCGCTCCTTGCGTTCAACGCCGGGGAAGTTTCTTGTATCAAGACATGAACCGACTGCTGACAATATTGTGCCGGCGGGCCGAAACACACCACAACAGCAGTCTTGGCAGCAACTGTACGCACGAACAAGTTTCCTCGGCAGTGGTGTGGATGGTTCATGGGCCCACCGACGTCGAGGAGTTTCATCGTCGTGCACCCGCCACAAGAGCGAGACGTATGCATACCCGAAAAGTTGAAAGGGGAACAGCGGGTGTTTGCTGCGGGTCGTTGCTGCAGTCTCCATTTCCATTTACAGATGAACCTACAACCCTCGAGAGCTGCAACGTGTGGAACCGGATGGAACGGCGGGTGGATCCGCTGCCACACCGTGCTCCATCTTGATCCTTTCGACAAGCTCACGGGTTGACATGCGATACCAACTCCAAGGGCGATACCTTGTTGCCCAGAAGGATTGCGACCTCTGCTTGCTGTACAGCCGACTGCTGTATGCTGCTTGACATACCACACCCCCTGCTGACGGGCCGATTTTCAAAGCTCGATTGTATTCCTCCGCGACGAAGAGGACGCCGAATTCGAATGATACGTTACCTGGGAAGCTCTCGATGAAACGGTTCGGTTGTTCCAACGCCACCATTGTGGACACCTCAACTGCTTCACCTGCGGAATGTTTGTGCTGGGAAGAACGGTCCGAGGGGGTGTGGTATCTTGCGCAACGTTCGGTGCATCAATAATTTCTGGGTGTATTTGTTTTTCCGTAGTATCAGCCTCGAGTCGTGTCTCGGACAAACACAATGCAGCTGCAAGCGGGTACAATACCTTCTTGATGCAGCTAGGCAGCTGAAAGCGGGTACAATATATACCTTCTGATGCATCTCGGTCCGGATGGCTGGTGTCCGCGATCCCCTCGCTTTTAAAAGGATGAATGGTTTTCTGAACCGGAGTGCCGAGCTATAAACGCCTTTCTCTTGCACACCCCGAATCTTCCAACCAACACGCCTCTAGCCTATGCCATCCGTACACGGCGAATCCTTCGTGTGCCCCCATCTCTCTCCCAGCCAGAGGTCACAACCTCTGAGCACGTCTTGCCTTGATATCCACAGTAGCACCTGCACAGCAGGGCATGCGCCATATAAGACTTTCGTGTTCTGTTTGCAATCGCAGAACGATCCTTCTTTTTTTTTTCTCACATGTGGTATGAAACAACGCAATCCTAAAATAGAGCAGTTAGGTTAGCTATGAACCCATCGCGTCAGCGGAGGCTTCCTGGATTTCCACGATTTCCCGAGCAACACACAGCGATTATCTCCCGTGTGGGTAGATAGCAGGCTCGTTCTTTCCCAATGTTAACGATTTCATTGCTGGTGACTTCTCGTGCGATCTCTGCAACAAACGCAGCGGCAGCAGCATCTGTGCCACCAGGCCGGCTAGGAATGGGGTGTCAATGTCTGCAGGAGGCGGGTCGGAGGGCGCCACAGCGACGCTTGAAAGAGTCAAGAGCCTCAGCGATAAGGTACGAAGAGCTGCTGGTGTTTGCGGTGATGGTATGCATACGTACTGCCGTACACGGACTTAAAAATGTTGACCGACTGTGCTCCGCTGCGGCTTGTGGCACGTGTTTGTTTGACATGGCGTGGTACTGCTGTAGATCCTCGCCCCTTTTCCCGGGGTCTGTGCAACGACATTTTCCCACTTTTTTGTTGTTGTTGGCGGTATGGGTGTTTGATCGCAAGTGAGTTCATGTGGTTTGCTTTTTGACCGTGCTCTTGTTTCCCGTTGTTGTTGGGGTGTGCCCCGTGGAAGTGTCGACCTTATTCTCAGCGCTCACCCGGTTGGGGGGACCCTCCTTTTTCTCCGGGAAAGTATCAAACAAGAACGGGTTCCCGCCTCCTCTCTGAGCTCCTCTCGAATGCGACTCGTACACAAAAGAATGATGGCCTCTCTCCTAGACGGGAACCCGCAAAACTGCGCGGGGTACATGCCAGTGTCGTCACTATTTTCGTTTCCGCCGTCTTCTCCAGCGGTGTTCAAAAAGACGTTTGTTGCTGTGCCTCTATCGTCGTTCACAAAAAAGCTGTTGACGACGTCAGCGTTGGTTATAGGTGAACGCGGCGAATTTCCCCTGTCCCCTTTACTGAAATCCGTCCGCCTCGGGTACGTAGGTTTCCAAACTCCAAGAAGTTCTGGCCGGGGTGCAAGCATCCCGCGGGCTTCCCTCTTCTACTGCCGCGGCGCCAGCACCTGCACCAGCAGCGGCGAGCGCTTCTGCTACTGCTGCTGCTGCTGCTGCGGGAGGGAGTGCCAAGCCAAAGAGAAAAGCGAACGCGCTTGTGTGGGCTGGAGCGCCTTCGGAGGAGTTCATCGCCGGCGCCGACACTCGCTCTCTCGAGCGGGAGCCCTACTGGTGAGCGTTCTCGCTCCCGCGTGATGTTGTTGTTGTCGTTGGAAGGTGGGCTGCGGATTGACTCCTGCGGTAGTGTTGGGAGGGTCTTCCTTCGTGGGTATGTTGGGGTGTTTAGAAGAGGGGGGAGGGCTGTCCACACAGCCGAATGCTCATGAGGGTTCGACACCATCACCTCTCTCGCTCTCTCTCTCTCTCTCTCTCTCTCTCTCTCTCTGTGTGTTTGTCTTTCTCTCTCTGTGCCTCTTGCTCTGTGCCTCTCTCTCTCCGTCTCTCTGTTTCTCTCTCTCTGTCCCTTTCTCTCCCCGGCCCCTTCCCGTCCCGTCCCGTCCCGTCCCGTCCCGTCCCGTCCCGTCCCGTCCCGTCCCGTCCCGTTTTCAGGGATATGTCGGAGCTCCCGATGCACACATTCAAGGCGAAGGCGCCATACACCGGCACCATCGAGACGGTAGAGAAGCTCGTACAGCCGGGGGCGTCAGGGGAGGTGCGTTTTGAGGCCAGACCATTCCATATGTTTCGCAAATCATACACCGCCTGTGCTACTCTGGTAGCTGCTGTTCCATGTCGCTGCTGATGGCAGAGGAGAACGGAGTTTCCGTGTTGGTTGATCTTTTCTTTTGAAATTGTTCGGTGTTGATGGTGGTACTGCAGCAGTAGTTGTCATGCTGGTTGACGGGGAGTAGGTAGACCATACCCAGTACCACTTCAAAATACATAAGTGTCTTCCATCCGCAGCAAGCACCGACACACCAACATCAACACCAACGCCAACATCAACGACTACAACAACAACAACAACAACAACAACTACAGGTGTTCCACGTGAAGCTGCGGCACGAGGGGAACATGCCCTACTGGGAAGGGCAAAGCCTCGGCGTCACCCCCCCCGGGCTAGATGCCAAGGGCAAGCCTCACAAGGTGAAAGTCTCAATCGGTTGGCCTTCAAACATAGAAAGAACAGACCATCCCTGTGCGTGAGAGAGCGCTAGCCAGCCGCAGACGGGGGTACGAGGGTGTATTGTGTAGCGCGGTATCATCCACGTACCTATCTTCGGTGTGTGACGTGTGGGCGAGAACACAGGCGATTCAACCTCGTCTGCGCTCTTCGGCATTTGTGTCGTGAGTTGCACGCAGGTGGGCAATAGACGCTAAATAGACACATTTTTTTTCTCGCGTAAACACGGTTATGCGAAAGGCAAGGCGAGGCTTGAAACGAAAGTACGACACTGGTGGCTAGTGTGTGTGACCAAAATCAAGCTTTCCTCCAAAACTTCAGGTGCGTCTTTCTTCGACAGTATGACACTACGTGTGTAGCCAACACACAGGTTTCCAGACCTCAAGTTCGATTTCTTTTTGAAGTTTATCGTACATGTGTGTGTGTGTGTGTGGCCAACAAACACGGGTTTGTTTTCGAAACGGCAGGTGAGGCTTTACTCGATCGCGTCTACGAGGTACGGCGACGACGGGGACGGGCGGACAGTGTCCTTGTGCGTCCGGAGGGCAACCGTGATTGACCCGGAGACCGGAAAAGAAGACCCTTCGAAAGAGGTGAGAGAAGACGACAAGCGAAAAGGAATTCCTTCCGAAGAGTCAAGACTTGTGTTCTACGCGGAGCTGATCCTTAGATTGCGTCGCAAATCTCTCTGGGTCTCTGTGCCGGCTTTGATGCGGCGATCCTGGAATTCCTCCCTCATTTGCGTGAGCCAACAGACGACCCTAAGCATGAATAAGTTTTAGGAAGATGACGCGGTGTTAGGGGTTAGAGGTGAGAGAGGCGGCCGGAAAAAAAAAAAATCCTTCCAAAGGATAAGGGTAAGGGTTGTTTACCTGAGGCAATCCTAGATTTCCTCCTTCCTTTGCTGGTAACCAACAGATAGCCCCACGCCTGAAGTCCTAGAGAGAGAGATATATATAGAGAAATGACGCGAGCTTTTGGAGTTAGATTCAAGCAGGCAGCTTGTATGCGTGCCTCTATTTCTGATCCATAAACGAAGAAAAATGGATTCGTGTTGTTTGCCAAACTAGCCGAACAGATGCAGACCATCATACCATCATACCATGGTACTTGCTATACCAGTATCCTCGCCGTTTGGGTTTTTTGGAGCCTACCCGGCGGCCCTTGCTTCGTTTCGTGAGAGGACGTCTGATGCATGATTTCGGCAGAGCATGGTTGTCGACTCTTTTCGTCTTGACTCCTGCTGGCTACCGCCAGCTTGCGCGTGTGGTCGACGGCCGCGTCTCTGTGGGATGGTTTGAGTACCCCCCCCCCCCGC